AATACAGGTGATTTTTTCCTTGTAACTAGCTGAAAACCGATTTTGGAGATTACAAATTTGTTCAGATGTGCTCCAAGTTTTGATTACTAAAGGGCATCTTGTAGCCCACGTGTTACTGATCACTTAGGACACCTATATGACCTACTTCTGATGAGTGATGAGTAAGATATTGAGTTGTGAAGTTAAGGTTTTGAGCATGACATGTTGACTTGTGACTGTAAATTCGAGATTCACACCAATTCTTTATTTGCCTTATAACTTTTTTCATACACCTCCGCTACTATTGATTTAAAGTTTGTACATTATGTAATCCACTCTTTTGCGTTGAATGAGCCATCTACCAACCTATTCTGACGTCATTTGACATATGTAATTAGCTGAAAACCTCCATTTTCCACGAAATTCACCCATTTTCTCCACTTTTCACAGCTGCTACTCTCTTTTTCTTGCTCATGTAATATGACATCATCCTCTATAAGCTTAAAAATCCCGGAAAATCCTCTTGGCAACCTTAAATTCCATTACTACCACTATTACATAACCAAACTACACATGTACCTCTTGTTTACCAACTTTGAAAAAGTGCCTTTTCCCTGATAACTTTTGTTTCTCCTTATCAAACTTCAAGATTAAAATTGTCATAGTATAATATAATGTTGTTCTTCCATATTCTAACCTCATAATACCCATAACTTTCTTTTTACTAACCTAAAAACCATTTTCCAACCTATGTACCTATAATTTTGAATTTTTCTTATGTTTTTCTTTCTTTCTTTTTTGTAATGAGTTTGTAAGTAAACTATAATGATCTTAATGAATAATGTGAAATAAACTGATGTAATGTTAACCTTATGACCAATACATAAGCCTACAAGAGCTTCAATTGATCAAAAAACCTCCATTTCGAATTTTCTTTCCTGCTGAATCCTGCTAATAAACTGGTAAACTGCTAATTGTGAAGTTTTAATTGATCCCATAAATTGATCACCACAACGGTCCACTGAATACTCCAGCGATTCGTACGTTGGTCGCCTCTTTTACAACCCCAACCACCTACAATCAACACCTCCCTCGCAACAACCCGGAGTTCACGATGTCATCCCACCACAACAAGTCGTCGCACCGTACCCCAATTCTCCTCTCGGACGCGATATTGCTCGTAAACAACAACACAGCGCGGTACAGTCATTCCAGCTGAATTCACCACAACTCAACGTCTCTCTCAACACCTCACAGCATACTGGCAGCAACACAAATGTGACTGCTTCAAACATTAGCTCATCAGTACCGCGTTGTCATCATTACAGTCTCAACAATGCTGACACCGCGTGCCACGCCCCTCCGCCTCCACCACCCACTCAAATGCCCTACCAACTCGACTATCAATTGCTCCTTGCAAAAACACAAACTCAGGTTTGGGTGCATTACCTCATCATTTGTCGCCTGCTCGTCAACCCGGCGCAAACCACCCTGCTCCATTTGTCACCGAAGGACCTCATGATGGCCTTCCGTTTAGCCAGAATACGTATGCAATATTCCTTTCCAAAAAAAACACGGGTGCTGATGGACTATTCAGCAGTGCTGCCATTTACAACAATCTGAACAGAAACACTACCTCCTGCGTTACTCATACGTCCTCGTCCCATCAGGCAACCTCAAGTTCTTCCCGTATAGAGACTACTAACAGCCAATTTATTGATACGGAACCCTCCGTCCTCACAGTCGCCAAAGAAGACACATTACGAGCATTTAATTGCCGACTGTTTAAACGCAAGGACGACTTTGAGGCTATATGTAGCGCACTCCGTAAGATTAACGCAGAAGCTCCGTTTGAGGACAAAGGGACCAATCTCTTGGACTATAGTGACGCGTTCGTCGCGGCAATGCGTGCGCACGCTGAGTACTTTTTGTCCCGCCTCAGGATCTTTAACAGCACCAACAGACCGTCAAAACAGAATCGATAGAGTTGTTTCACGCCCTACATATATGCTCATTTCAACATTTTGTTTCAAACTTGTTTTCTCTCACTTTTGCTCAGGTGCTCAGTTCAACGCTAACGTTTCTTTCAAAACTCGTTTTCTCTCACTTGTGTTACTCATTTCAACGTTTCTCTCAAAACTCGTTTTATCTCACTTTTGCTTGCTCGTCAGGCATGTACATCTAATTTGTCAGTTTTGCAATCTCGTTCCATGTCTTTCAGTTCAGTCCGCTTTTGTGCTATCCATGCTTGTAAATCCAATCTCCGTGGCTTTCCTTCATTGTAATCCAAGATTTGGGTTTACGATAAGAGTGATTTCCGCGCTGATGCGCGGACAAGATCGTGATCCGCACTCCGCGGGTTTGCAGAGCAACGCATATGAGTCTTGAGTCTGCGCACCCATTGGCCCCTCGGCCATAATCGTAGTCCCTCGGATCATAGCTCGTAATCCCTTGACCAATTACGGGCCGTGCGCAAGTTTCTGGTGGAATAAGCACGTGCAAGAGCATCAGCACCGGGACCTTGTAAAAGAGGTCCCTGTATCTGACATATGCAACAGGAGAGCAGGTGTATTGCAAATTTCCCAGAAAATGTAAAAATTGAAGAAATCGATGCTGTGTAAAATGTCCAAATGTACAGATCATACTGATGACCGGGTGGGGGCTTTGAGTCTAATTGAGAAGACTTGTGCAAGGTTGTAGGGTGTCGGATAGAGAAGATTGGTGTAAAGTTTTGATGTTTGGTCCAGTTTGGTCAATTTTTGGAATATACACTGCAGTCCATTAATGGACAGCAGAGGGATGATTTTACACAACGCGTAAATCATACAGGTCATCTACAAGGTCCGGTGCCTCGTGTTTAATATCACGGGTTTGTAAAATGGCATGTATTTGCCATTTTACAAGGTCCCGGTGCTAATGCTCTAAGAGCCTCTCCAACATGGACCTGTTCTGTAAACCAAATACAGACCCAAAAAAAGATTGCTGCCAAAATTATGACAGCTGTATTTCATTTTCAGCTTTGTTGCATCCAACGCGCACATGAGGTATGGGTTTTTGAGTTGTTTTGAGCTGCCCAAGTTGCCAAACCCTCGCCCAATTGAGCCACCAAATAGCCATCAATTGGTTGGACAATAAGAAGAAAGGACACATGTGGTGACTTGACCACCACATGTGCCAAATGCCTGTCCAATACTTGGCCAATACAGCTTGCTGTAAAAGTTCAGTTGGTACTCCATATTTGGAGTACCAACCTTGTGAAAGGTGTTTTGCTGGAAATTCAAACTCACACACATGGTGAGCTGTCAACTATCAAGACCGCACTGGATGTGTTGATACAATCACAGGGGCCAAAATTGATGCTCACAACTATGTGAGCATTGTAGACTTTCCTGAAGTCTCCAAAAATGATTCATTTTGTTTCAGAATCATTCAATTCATGAGTTTGGTAGTGTTCAGGAAATCAGGCTGTTTTGCTCAGATTTTGCTCGGCGTTGCTGGAGAATGCTCATTTTCATCACGGATGAGCATTCTTTGGGCTCAGTCTCTGAGATGAGTATTCAGGATCCGCTCATGAGGCATACTCAGAACAGCTCAGAACCTCCCCAAGATGGAAAAAAACTCATTTTTTTCACCACCCTTCCCAATACATGTCAGAACTACACCACAAAATTACACCCCTTTTGTTCAAATTGGGTTTGCAGGGTACCCAAGAATCACGGCCGGAACCTGGCTCAAATTCCGCAGGTTTTTGAGCAGAGACCTGTTTTTTGACGGGTTGAGTTTGATATGTATAATCTCCAAGTACCGCTTCTCAAAAGCTCTCAAAGATTTGAGAAGTTTAATCAACAGTCAGACTACCGAGCTGACCCAGATCGACCAAACATTACAACTCATGAAGTCCAAGGTTTCTGAGATCTCGAAAGAAACTGTGAACCTGAGTCAGATGCCCGATATCAAACATTCTTATTTGATCAAATCAGAATCCAAACTATTGAGAATAGCATCAAGTTTTGAAAAGGTTTTGAGTAAGAGGAGTGAAGTGGAAAGCAGAGCTATTGAAAGGATAGTTGAAGGTGCTTGGGAGATGGTTCAGATGGAAGAAATGGGAGTGGATCAGTTTGTGATTGCACATCAGATTGGGCTTGAAGCATCTTGGGTGAAGTCTTGGATAGAATCTGAATCACATCCATTCATGAACGAGGTTGAGGAAGAGAGTACAAAAATTCATAAACTCGAGTCACTTTCAACCCAAATCGAAGGCGGAGCAAAGGCTAAGATCAAAGACATTGGCTTGAACTCTTCTACCTCTTCAACTTCTTCTGCGAGGTTGAATGAAGAGAATGATTGATTGAAACGGAGGTTTATGAAGATCAAACAATTGGTTGTATCCAGACTAAAACAAAAGAAAGATGATGATGCTACAAAGAGTAAACTGCTGTTATGTGATAAACAAAAAGATACAAGGACAACCAGATGAAAAATTAAGCAGGTATAGCTTTGAGTTGTTTTCCAGGCTCTTGTGACTCCACCTGCTCTAGAACTGTGATCATTCCCAGGAAATCAAAAATTCAGAAAGGCAAGACAATGAAAGCTAGGCAGACTTATCCTACCTGGATTCGGTAATTCTGGAAGACGAGTCTTGGGAGCATCTGGTAGATCAATTGGGATAGATAGTTAGACTTCGAGTTGTGAGTTCTGTTTGGTCATCGATTTTGAAACGCGTGAATCAAGCGCTAGCAAAACTAAATTTCAGGATATAGGATTAGTTGAGCAAATAAAAAACCCTGACCTCTTGGGCTTGTAATGATTCCATTTCTTGTTGAACCTCTTCTTCTTCCTCTACATTCATCTTTGACATCATCATCTCATCAATCTCCTACAAACCTGATTCCAGTCCCCAAAGTTAGAAACATTATAGACAATCAAGTAAGTCGGGTATAGTCGGAAGTCTTGAATCTTGTTGGTTTAGACAATATGTACTCACCCTTTGATATGCAATCGCTTCATTAGTATCACTCATGAGTTTCTCGACACTGTCAAGATCCATTTCTTTGTGTACTTCCTTCAAGACTTTATTTCCTTGTTGAAGACCAAACAATACATCCTTTTCAATCAATGAAAATTCAACGCTCAAAACCTATAAAAAGCACATTCAGTCCAAGAAGTAAAAAATGATTTGATTAGATTCATGAGTGATGGCAATGGCTTTGCAAGGCACGTCGGCCTTGGAGGAAGGTTGACTTTACCAAATTTTGTAATGTTTCAAGGTGTTGGTCCGTTGTAATTAATAAACCTTCTTGATATTTTTTCCTATGTAATGCTAAAAGAGCTCTAGATTATTTCCTTTTGATAATGTATCCTTTGCAATATTTTGTTCTTGATCCGCAAGAATCTCGATCTGATTTATCAAAAAAGTACAATGTTCATAAGAATTCATTTCAAAGTAAGGCAAACAGATTGATAAGTTTTCATATCTTTTTCTTGTATCGTTTCAATTCATCTCGTTGTAGTTTCATACTTCAAAAGCCAGAACGAGAGTGAAGGAAGGCACATCAAGTCAAAAGTCGCCCTAAGTGAATCAAGATGATCACGCATAAAAAAGATTGATAGGCCTCCCACCAGTACCAAAAATGATCATCTGGGAGGGTGGTAGGCCAGCCGTGTGTCTATCTTCTTGAAGCGTCAATGGATGCTCACTCAAGGAGGGCACAATCTTGAGATGTGATTTGAGAATTAGAACTGCCAGCCTGACCCATCTGCTTGATAGGATAGAAAGTTGTTGGATAATTTGTGAGAGAAAGCTCAAAGTATTTGTGAAGTATATCAAAGTTTATAAGAAATTAAACAAATTGTATTTCAAACTTCAAGATACTCAAATCAAATTACGAGAACTCGAGCTCCTTCAAGTTTGAGAGGACAAATCAGCGGTGGTGGTAGCGGTCTTCGAAACCGAGTCAGCTTGATGTCTATGAACCGGAGTCGAACTGCGTTTGGGTTTAGCACTCCACCCTCTACTTGAATGAACGGAATTGAAGAGAAGGGACCCAATATCGAGCCCAACCAAATCAAAACATTGACCAAATGGTCGGAAAGGTTGTGAATCGACTTGCAGTAAGTGGTTTTGTTGCTCTCTTTGACTCCGGATTGCTTAACCCAGTGTTTGCCTGATGACACAGATTGCTGGACCTATAGGTTGAAGTTCATGTAGCGCCTGTTGAAGAAACTTGGAAGGATAATAGTGGACTGTATTGGATTGGTAACACAAAAAGGAATGTGAAAGTGATTACTGTCAGCTGACAGTCAGCACTGTGGGGGACGTCCCAGTTGCCCTTGTTCCTGAAACAGTTTAGGATTGGTGTTGTAAAACCCAACACAGGGCTAGCTTGACAAAAGCCCAGCCAGCCACAGGTGTCCCCCGGATCATCAGGTGTCAAGGGATGCCGCTGAGGAAGAGCTGAGCTTAGATGAAGTGAGCAGATGGGCCAGCCCTCCCTCAGGCTTCTTTGCTAAGGAATGTTGCCTGAGGGAGGCCTGACTCATCTCCTCAGTTTCTGTTTATCACATAATGAGCTGACAAGCAGAAAGAAAAGGGAAACAAATGGGAAACAAATGGGAACAAAACAGGAAAATTTCAATGCTCACATAGTTGTGAGCATCAATTTTTGCCCCTGTGAATACCTGTAATCATAAACAGTACTTGACACTTAGCGGTTACCAGCACTCAGACCTCGCGCGCTCAGCTGTATACTGAAGACCTTGCCCTGACTGAGTATGCTCACATTTTCTCCTCATCATGAACACCAATTGTTTTCTCTACTCATCCAAATGTTCAGCACTGTCTATTTGTATATAATCCAAATATCTGTTTGTGTCTGTTTCTGTCTTTCTCTTTATCTGCATAAAATAATATATTCGTTGCTTTCTGTTCATACTCTCTGCGCCTCAGACAAACACTGCGAAACAGCCATTGAGTTTCTCAACTGTCACGTACAAGATTCGTGCCAAACTCGAGATCTTGAAGATTTCACAAGCTCTACATAGCCCGTATCATCAGGAGGGCCGTTTTGTGACCAAGTTTGGTAAACATAACATACAGCTTACGTGTGTGTCTGATTTGTTACGTTTACCAACCTGCATTGGAGATCTGCTACAATTATGGTAGCTCAGTTCCCTGATAGAAACCGGGGATTCTCATACTCCAGACCGGCTCCCACTTTGTTGGAGTTGGTACAGGTACAAGGGCTGAGATACCTAGCCTGAGGCACCGTACCAATGGTATGGAAGCCGGGGATCCCCAATCCCGCGGGTAACGGGGCTCATGCTGATGTATACGTGATGTCTAAAAGCGCTAAGGCTGAGGATCACTAAGAAGTGATGATAAGAAGATTATGCACCTGTTTGAAGGTAGCGATAAGAGGACACAGTAATGTTTGATTGAAGAAACAACAGTAACACGCAAACAAAAGGGTCTTTATATAGAGCCACCTTTGCAATACATAGGGTACAATACTCTATCAGGTTTGTGACTCTCATGAGCTGCATTTGGACAATGATAAAACTTATAAGATAATAAAGATAAAAGAAAAAGAGAAGTGGGATACCATGACCAATGCAGCGATGGTTGCTACACTTCTAGCTTGGAAGTTGACTATCGCAGTTGTAATTCAATAGATATTGTGTTTGTGGTGCTACCCTTGTCAAAGATGACTGAATCATCAGATTGGAAATGTGAAGTAACTAAACTCACAAAACCTAGTATAAAAAATACTCAAGCGGACAGAGTGTTTTGGGCAAAACCCAAGGCTAATCGCCAAGGGTGATAAATTTCTGATAAAACATGAGCACACCCTACAGGGTGGCTAGCGGACCTAATACTATACTTCTAAAAACAACCAAAAAACCACAATAGAACTTATAAGATAAAAATAACTAACACATACAAACAATCAAAAGACAATGAACCACTTCTTCTTTCTTCTTTAATAACATACAAAAAAGAACTAAATATTTTTGAGAATTAAAACTGCCAATATCTAACCGTCGTAACAAACCAAACAAACATACCAAAAAACAGGGAATCAAAAAGGGAGGGCGGGAACAAAAAATCACTAGAGAAAAAAGTAGTCTTCAAAGAAAAGATAAAGAAATGAAACGGTTGTGAACACAATGGGAAAGAGCTTGATGAAATTCGGAGAAAGTGGTAAGCAGCATGACATCATGACTGTCAAATCTAAAAGATATAAACATAATCCAACCCGTTAGTATAATTACACATACATATTGGAAGCCCGAATTACATCACATTCCCAACCGTTAATAACACGTTACCAACAACTAGAAATGTGAAGTAACTAAACTCACAAAACCTAGTATAAAAAATACTCAAGCAGACAGAGTGTTTTGGGCGAAACCCAAGGCTAATCGCCAAGGGTGATAAATTTCTGATAAAACATGAGCACACCCTCTCCGACCCGCCTATACCGGTATAAGCAGAGTGGTGAAGTAGGAGAGGGTGAAAAAAAAAAAAAATTAGAAACGACGAAGAAACATAGTTAGCATCGTAAACTGATAAAACAGAAAAACGCCAAAAATAAAACACAGGCTTTCAAGCCATTGACCGTATCACGCAGGCATAGAAGCCATTAACCCGTGAAGAAGAAAGACGAGGCAATAAAAGCCATTGACCTGTCTAAATGCCAAAGATCAAAACTCACTTTAAGAAAATGAAACTTTTGACCCGACATGTGCAACACTCCCAATCACATGACTTTGATTTTCAGGAAGACGTAAAGCAACATGTCCTTGTACATAAATTAAAAAGGCCTCAGAGGACCATCTGCCAGCATCTTTAATATAATCCATGGTTGCACCTGCCTGCGCCAAGGCCGTAGCACCACCAGATCGTAAAGAGTGTCCGGAAAATGATTTGTCGAAGTGAGAATGAAAGCGAGATAAAAACCAGGACCGCGATGGAGGAGAGCCGTCCGACATAACGAATAATTCTGAAGAAGTAACAAAATCTGAGTCTCTTTCACGAAGATAGGATTTCAAACGTCGAACCGGACATGCCGAAGAATTGAAGAACTGTTGAATACCTACTGGGGCACCTAAATAATTCTTGTCGCCTTTGGAATACGGAAGTTGGTACTGGAAGAATTTTTTACACAAGGATAACTTCAAAGAAGATCTTAAAATAATCTTTCTTTCATCAAAATATCTTTTAGAATCAGGAATTGTTAGCTCGCCTAGACGATGGAGACCTGCAAAACCAACACACAACATAGCTAAAAAGAGCTTATTGTCATAACTTGAAGATAATTTTGAAACTACCATTTCAAGCTGATCCACCGTTAACGGATTCTTTCTTACTACAGGTTTCGGATAATTTTGTAAGCATGTCTTCATCGTATCTTTGACATCTTGATGATTTGAATCACAAAAAATTGCTGGAAATTCTAATTTAAAAATATGTTTGATGCCTATTATACACAGGGGCCAAAATAGATACTCACATACATGTGAGCGTTGTAGACTTTTTGGAATTCTCCAAAAAAGATTCATTTTCTTTCAGATTGATTCAATTCACAATATTGTTTGTGTTCAGGTGATCATCCTGTGGTTCTCATATTTTACTTGACATTTATTGAGAAGGCTCATTTCCATCTTGGATGAGCAATAACTGATTCCCGATGAGTACTCAGGATCAGCTCATGAGGCACTGAATACTCAGCAATTTGTTCAAAATGAAGATGAGCACATGAACTATACCTTCCTGAGGCTTCATTTTTCAATGAAGAAGCCTGCCCAGGGGCATCCCATTTGAGCTGCTCAGCAAATACTCAGTAGCATCCCCTGACTGGATCACTGATGGGCCGGACTTTTCTCAGACTTCCTTGCTAAGGAATGAAGCCTGATAAAAGCGTCATCCCATCTGCTCATTGCTCAGCTAATCCTCAGTGATATCCCCGGATAAAGTT